GAGTTGGAAGTAATTGGATGGAATTTGCTCTAAGATGTAGTATTTCATTAATTTTTTTCAATAATCAGATAAGTAGGGTAGGCGTGACCTTTTAGTAATAGGGAATAGGTCTTTAATTTCTGGGTATAGTTGTGACAGATTATCAGGTAAGGGTTCTAGTAGTGTTGTGAAGGATGTTTTGGGTAGTTTTTCAAATGAAAAGATTTTTTGGAGTGCTAGAACCATGGCTCGGGTAAGATTTCGATCTTGTATAGGGAGGGGAAATGGCAGGATATTTTGGATTGCAGAGTTTATTTGGGCTGGGGTTGGTGGCAGTAGCGTAAGTAATTGGGTATAGGCTTGATTAATCAGTTTGTGTAAGTCTTCAAATTCAATAGTGTGTTAAATTTTTGTGAAATTTTGGTAGTAGCAAATGACTCGAGTGCAGTCATGAGAGCTGGTAGTAAGGAAGTCAAGATTACAGATAATGTCTAGTGCGAGTTTTGTTTTAAGTTTGTTAAAGATCTGGTCTTGGTTGTGTTTATTAATGAATCATGTATTGTGAATCCTTTTGTATTTTTCTATAGCTATTTTGAGTAGGGAATTAAACTCTTTTTGGTGTAATAGCTATGTAGTTTTATCTTTGGTAAAGAAATGAAAGAAAGCTGTATCTAGATAAGAAAATTTTTCTTGAATTGCATGTAGAAGGTTGTATTTGGTTGGGTTGGTTTGTGCTTTGTGTAGAAGAAAATTAGCAAAAAGCTCTTCCGAGGAAAATGCCTAGAGTATGCGGTCATTATTCCATATGATGGTGTCAAAGTCAAGGGTACTTGCTTTGGCCAATGCCAGAGAGACTGAATTAACCCAGGTACCTGATTTGTTGTTTTGGAGTGAGTGTTTGGGTAAGTTGGAGATAAGTGCATTGCTGTATGATTTCTTGGCTATGAGGGATTCGACTATGGCATTGGATTGTGTATTCATGTTCTCAGGGTTGAGGTCTGCTAAGTCATTTTGGGGTTCGTCTGGGGTACATTCCGGGGTCAAAGAGGCTCATAGAGATAATTGTTGGGGGTAAACTGGGGAGCTCACTTTTGTTAAAACTTTGTGAATCAAGAGGTGGGGGGTAGTAGTGGAGTTGAACAGAGTTGTGTCTTGTACAGTTTTCTTACTTTTTTGAGGGGGTGGGTTGTTTGGAGTGTTTGGGTATACTGTAGTGTTCTGGGTGTCTGAGGTCCCAGCAGGGTCCATCAGTGCCATGCTTATTATTGAGGAGATGAGAAAGAGTTCGAAGGATTCTGGAGTGGCAAGAAGTGTGTCTCTGTCTCTTTTTAATGTGGTGGATATTCCTGAGGCACTTGGTAATATTTATTTGCCTTCCGGCAGTAGTCTAGTTATAGTTTTCTTTATAATTAGTTCGTAGACAGTTTTAAAATTTTGTTTGTTTTGTTTTCCTTATGATTTACAGATTTGCAGAAATGAGTTTTTATATATGTTCAATTAGCCAATTTTATTAGACAATTTATTATATATTTTATTATAACTTTATTAGATTAGATTTAAAAATTAAAAATTTTATTATAAAAATAAAAAAAAAATAAAATAAAGAAACTACAAAAAAAGGAAGAAACACCAGTTCAACCCAAAAAAATTCTTGACCACTCTTCAAAATACACCACAATGCTAAAATCTCTGCCTCCAAATCATCAATTTCTATTTCCAAATTAGCAACCCTAACTCGTGACCTATTTTACTTCAAATGCAACATACTCAACTAAGTTTCATGTTGGTAGTTTTGCTGAACTAACTTAATGAGATCATGTTCTTGCTATTATGCTTGCAGATTTGCTACTTGATTCTGCAAGCTTCAAATAATTGCTTGGATGAATTGGCTACGATTGGTACGAGATATCTAAATAGTGACAACAAAAGTGTCATTAGAAAAAGAACACTTTTTTCAAATAAATATACTTAAAAATAAGAATATAGAAAAAAGAATAGAAAAAAAAAATATCAAAGGAAAAAGTATCCACTCAAGACCAAATAGTCAAAGGCAACTGAGCAAGCTGAAGCTACTATAAAGGTACCAAGAAAAGTCAGCTTACTCAAAATAGATAACTAGCAGTTACTCTCAAAAGTCTTAACACCAAAAAAGTTGAGCTTATGGTCTGAAAAGTATATATACCTTAGAATAAGCAAGAGAAAAGGTAAGCAAGACAAGAAGAGATTTTCAAGAAACTACAACTAAAGAAAAAGAAAAGAGTATTAGATAAGAAAAGTTTTTAACATAAAGGAATAATAGAAGGGAATAGTACCAAGGAAGAAAGAATCATGTGTGTGAAAATTAGAAAATGAAACACATAGGAAACATGAATATAAATAGAATTTGGACAATAAGATAATTTTCCTATTTTAAAAAAATTATCATACAGCATAAACAAAGAAAATCATAATAATAATGTTATAATTTACAGATTTAAAAAAACAAGAGACAAATCAGAGTATAGAAGCTAAATTTAGATAGACAAAAGGGAAGTTTGGTAGATCTCACAAATTTTAAGGGAGGAAAGAACAAAGAAATGTTAAAAATAGATTAGGCTAAGAAATTTTGCCAAGTTTTGCCAAGCCATGGCTGAAACAAATACAAAACATGTAGAAAATACAAAATAAAATGCATATAAACAGATTGTAACATGTGGAAAATGCAAAGAACAAGTATAGATTAAATAAAATAGAAAAAACATTTCAACTCTATAACACAAATAACCACTTCAATGGATATTTAAAGGCTAGAAATTCACCTTTCTAGCTCCAATTCAAACTATTTCCACATTAGTACTATGAACAATCCAATTATTATATCTCCAAAATCTAGATTAAAATGGCTACTCAATCAACTTAGATAAATCTTCAGATCTATCAAAAAGCATGTGAGTTACAACAACTCTGTACCAGGTTACAATATACAGAGACTATTATTGTCGATCTGGACAATACAATAATTATACAGAATACAAATTATATATGCAGTATCTCTACAGATCTCAATAACCAAATTACTTCTTTTGGTAATCCAATTGAGATTATAAAGACAAATCTTATATCTTGTAAGAATAATCAAATATTTCCAGTATCTGTACTTACAAAACCTAATCTAAACAAGTGCTTTGCCAATCTTTTACACAATACAAGAAAGCCACAGATCAGAAAAACTATAACTGGATTCATGTACTGGCTTATGTCTTTCATATGAGTGCATTATTGTGGCATTATAAAGATAGTATCAATACCACAATTGGAAGGACCTAGTCTAAGACTTACAAACAGGTATTTTACTTATTTCAGAAACAAGGGTATAACCATATTTATCAAACAAGTCACATTAAAGTTAAGGACTTTAATGATATTGTTACAAAGTAGGTTGTAACACAAAGTAATACTAGTATAGCATAGTATAAAAAATATTCTATTATTGTATTATTTATTATATTATTATATTAT